CCGTTTGTCTCGGCATAATAGATGCATCTATGGTTCGTATCGTTCGACCCTCGGCAGTGCGCACACTATAATGGGATCGGGTTGTACGCCTGGGCAGGATTATGTACCACACTCTCATGGGAGTGGGCCATTCTCCTAGGCAATAAAATAGATGTATCTATGGTTCGGATATATTATGATGGATCGAGCCGTACGCCTCACCATTTCTATAAAATACTCTTATGAAATCATGCGTAATAATTGGCAACAAACCAGCATATCTGTGAGATTTTACTGAACCGTGATGACCTATCTAGTAAGGTCCATTGTATACATACTCTGATTGAGGAGGTAGCTACTAGCTGATAGTTTGAGTTATTTCTGAGAGGAGGATTGCACCACGTTTTATACTTGTTATTTTTCTTATTTACTCTGACTCATACCTGTTTATTTATACTGTATCTGTCTTATTGGACCACTAGTAAGTGTTGATGTTGACCCCTTGTCACTACTTCTCTGGGGATAGGCTAGATACTTACTGGGTACGCGTAGATTTACGTACTCATGCTTCACTTACTGCACTTTTTGTGCAGGTACATATATGTCTGGTGGTCTTTTGGGCGCAGAGGCGCGGCTATTGCGGGGACATTATAGTGCGTTGCATTTTATGTTATGGTCCGCAGCCTGCGGAGTCTTCATCAGAGTTATTTATAATCTCGTGTCTAATTTGTATTCCAGAAAGATGTTGTATTCTTATAATATTTCCTATTTGATGCTCGTGCATTTGTGGCACCGGATTTTGGGGGTTTCCTTCAGGTTATTTATTATAGTAGTTCGTGTAAATATTTTATTACTCTATAAATTCTATTTTATATTGTTCAATTAAGGAAAATTATGATTTTAAAATACTAAAATGAGTAATTAAAATGATAAATCACCGTTGGTTTGCCTGACGGTGGCGTTAGGCACCATCACGACCTATAATGGATTTTGAGTTGTGACAATCGAAGTGATTAATAAATTAGATTTATTTACTACTAATTTGCAATACCTCTTTTATCTTTACCTATGTTTTTTAAGGCTTACGTAGGTTGTTAACGTAACTCAAATAGATAAAAGAAAACATTCGATCAAATATCGTAAATGTTGTATACATATAAAAAATAGCAGCAAAACTTATAAGAGAAATAAGGAAAGGAGATAGACTCATGGTTTGGGCCTGAAGGGAATTAGGCCTAGCAAACAACGAAATAGCAGCAGCAGCTTCTGACGAATCCAAGTTCAGGCTAGAACTTGGGCCTGAGTTCTTTGAGAACTCGAGCAGCCCATTTCAATCACATGTGTAAAAAAGAATAAGAAAGTCATTAGATATATGGACCAATATAATATTTAAACACAAGTAACATCAATATAGGCCCAAGACAAAACTGTAACAATCATTAGTAATTAGGAATATAAATGAAATTAATGTGAAGTCAAACCGAGTAAAGCAATTTGAAATGAAGCCTTTACGTTCAATCAACACTAAACCTAAAGAGATTAGCAAATATCAATAATTAAAGGCTTAAGGTAAAATTTCATTTATGGCCAAGACACCCTTTGGATCCCTGGCACTTAAAAGTTCACAAAGGTCTCAGGGACCCCAAGCAGCGCTTGTATCAGGGAGGGTATCTCAACCATAAACTAACTTGTAATCCTAAATACCCTTAACCACTCATGCTTACTCTTCCATATAGGTTTAAAAGCTAATGAGCTAGTCATTGTAAATTCCAGTACAACTGTAACAGCAACACACAAAGAGATGTATATTTCTCGCAACACTTGTACAAAATATCATTATGATCTTAAGACAGCTAATCACATTCTTGTAACCACAATCCCAGACATGTGTATATGATGCACTATGGATATTTTCAACATGTTCAAGTGTAATTAAAGAAACCAAATACAGGCATACATAGGGGAAAAGAGCATTAGCAGGTCACTTTAGAAACACAAGCAACTAAATCATATAACTTAAGAGTAGGGAAGGTACATAACTTTGAAATCTCAAGTCATGATCACATTATCTTAATAGCCTATATTCAAGAGCTTATCCCTAGACGAATGTTTGATAATTAATCATAAACTAATGACGAATACGCATGATTTCAATTAGATGATTAAAAGACAAGAAAGGTCGAGGCTCAATGACCTTCTTTTGAGTAGCAAACCAAACGAGAGTATTTTCTTATCCATTTAATAATCGAAAACTCAAACTTCAATCAGTGTATGCTCAGAACCGGAAAGAAATCAAAACCTAGTTAGAAACCTTTGCTTTAAGATTTCTACTCAGAACTTTAAGTGTAGTAAATGATATTTCTGTAGTTAGGTCGATGTTTTTGCTTGTTGTTGAGAGCATTAAAGCCTATTTTTTATAGCGGCATTCGATGCCTTAAGATTCAACAGATTCAAACGATAGTGGAGAGTAATGGATAGTTGATAATGTGAGCACAATCGGATGAAATCAGAGAAGACAGAGGTGGGAGCAGTGATAACTTTTACTTGAGGTGGGAAAGTTGTCCGTTAAAGGGAAATTCTCCGGATAAAAGCCCCAATGTACAGAGGTTGCTACGATTGACCTCTTCACCAAGAATAATGATGATAACACTGGAGAGATCGCCGTGCATGCCATAGATTTATCAGAGCATAGGAGATATCTGAAGATTTGACATTGCAACGTTGAATCTAGGGTTTTAGATTTGGGCGTTTGAATTCAAGTGATGAAAGGGGAAAGGAATCGGTGAGAATCATGGCTGGGGAAGAAAAAGGAGATGATTTTCTGTCTGATTCATGACCTTGCACGAATTGGTGCAAGGTCTGTGATTGATTTGGTTTTGTGGGTTGAGAGAATATAGATTGGAAGGGGAAAGGGGGCGGCTGGTCAGTAGGGCACATTAGTAGGGTTTTGGGGATACAGGAGTGGTCTCTAAGGGTTAAAAATAGATGAGTTAATATGGCCATTGGATCTTTAGATCAACGGCCTTGATAATTCAGGGAATAAACAATTAAAATAAGAAAATATGATAGCTGTTGGATCTTTGGATTTTGACGGCTGGGATTAAATTCGGGGATATTTTTAAAATTAAAGAAAATAGGAAGTAAAACCTGGGCCGTTGATCAAATGGATTGACAACTTGGATTAATTGTGTTTCTTTTGTGAGTGTGGTGATCGGGTGACGTGGCACGATTTCATTGGGTTGGAGAGAGGTCATGGATCGCCAAGATGGAAAGAGAGGGGTTGGACATGGGTTAGATTTTGGTCTTGGGCTTGGGTGATGGGTCGTTTTTGATTTAATAAATGGCCATTTTGTACTTAATTATACAATTGCAAATGTAGCCATTACAGTTTTTTAACCCTTTTAGAATTAATTTAAATAAACTTAAATAATTTCAACAAATGTATTAGAAATTAAAACCCTCAAATACACTACTAATTACTATAATTAATTAATATCTTATTTTTCTACTTACTACACTAATTTCGGATTTATTTTGAAATATTGGGCTATTTGACCAAATTTAAGGAATAACCATATTAAATTAATTATAAACCCATGTAATGAATATAAAAGTTATTTTAATAATTTCAAAAATAGTAAAATTAATATATTTATGATTATACAATACTATTATTAATTAACACCATTAATTACTAAAATAGGTATTATTGATTCAGAAATATTTCTAACATACTTATTGAAAATCAATAAGTATAAATAAATTAATTATAAAAGGGAGGATCAAAATTGGTCGTCAACAACTGCCCCTCTTTGACCGGAGACGATAAAAGAGTTTTCGGGCAAAGTAATCGAACCAAGACTAAATTTTCTCGATTTTAGGCATACATCGCAGGAATGGCATATTGATTTAAGGAAGATTATGAGTTGTAGAATTAGGGAAGGAGTTAAGGAAGATTTCAGGGGGAATTTGGAGAGTTCGGCCAAATTTTGGCTTTGAATTGCTTACATACCTCCGGCTAAACGAGGATCAAGCCTCATGTAGCTCTGGAAAGATGATTTGGAGAAGACGATGCTTGCAAGAATTGCCCCAGTATCATTTTATGACGATACTACAAGATGAAAAATTTTGGTACCCATGACAGCTCTGAATTGCGTCTTGATTTGAAAGATTTGATGAATTAGAGTTAAACTGGCCGTATTTAAGTTTTGAGTTTGGACCCTTAGCCCGCTTATGAGTTTGTTGTCCCTCATAGCGTTATGGCTTGGTTTACTGCTTATAAGAAGTTCCACGTCACGATGTTTGGTCCTACAAAAATAAAACACACACATACCATATGTCGTAATACATATATGTTAATATGTAATGTAAATGATGCAGGAATGATGTTGTCTGGCTGCCAGCTAGCCGTTATTCGGGATCGTGGCAACATGATACTTGAATTTAACTCGATTGTTAGCCGGGCTATGTCCCATTCCATAGTTGTCGGAGCATTAAGCCTCCTCATGATGGGAGTATCTCCGCGCGATGGGAGTAATTGACTTATAATGGAAAATGTATCTCCGCATGATGGGAGTATCTCCACGTGATGGGAGTAGTTGACTTGAAATGTGAAATATCTCCTCACTATGGGAGTATCACCACGCGATGGGAGTATCTCAGCACGATGGGAGATTCCGACTTGAAAAATGTAAAATACATGTAAGCTGCATGAGCAAAACGTCAAATCATTCAAGATAAAATAAAGAAATAAGAAGAATGCCCAAGAGATACTTTTGACTGCAAAACTAATTGCGGCCGTTGATCGGCAGAATGTATGGCGGGATTGGACGACTATCTATTTGTAATCTCCAATATGGAAAAGTGGCGGTGCGAAATGCTCCAGTTGGCGAAGCGAACCGCTTGCTATATACAAGGCTTTGATTGGTAAAGCCAACAGCTCGATTTGTACAGGGCGCTCTGATTGATTAAGTTAATGGTTTTCTATATACATAGCTCCAGTTGGCGGGCCCAGTAGCTCGCTATATACAAAGTGCTCTGCTTGATTGAGCAGACGGTTTGTTATTTACAATATGCCCTGATCGCGTCAGAGGCCTGGTTCCAGAATACCTGCAAGGAATTTGGGAGTTAGTATTTAGTCATTTGAGGAAATAAATTAGATAATGAAAGAGAGATGATAGTTATGAGAGAGTAGAGAGTCTGTCATTGCTCCCAGCGGCCCCCGCATTTCCTTGTATCTTGTCGATCATGTGTTCAAAGAAAGATTCTTAGTAGGGGGTGTTGGTTTGTGTTGACCGTAGTCCTAGCTTTTCCTCGGGTCTAATGAGGTTATGCCATGATATTCGGTAGGTGGAATGATAATTTTTTTTAGAAAAATAATTTTTTAAAATTGTTCATTTTATGGAAAATGTCGTCGTTCCATATTATGACTTGTTTGGAAATTCTCTCAGACGCGAACGTTGAGATTAGAACGCTATGTCCCATTGATGTTGATTCTTGGAGATTCCTCTGATGACGTAGCTTCTTGTCGCTACGATTGTGTCCTAATCCAAACGAATGCGTTACAAAGTTTTTCATAGGGTTATGACCGAACCATTTCAGGTTGCCTACGTATCCGAAATGGAATTAGGTCAGAACTTAGTTCGTGGATAATGATATAAAATTTATGATGATGATTGATCCTGACTCAGGCAGCCTACGTAACCAAATAGAATTATTTCAAAATGTAGTTTGATCATAATAGATGCAAAATGATGGGAAATTAAAAATGAAGTGGCCGAATCTGACTCAGAATGCCTACATATCAAAATTGAACCAGGCCAGAACGTAGTTCAATTAAAATAGATGACTCAATCCGATGAGAATTGCCTACGTATTCCTGCCAAAGGAAATCAAGTCGTGACATAATTCTGAATATAGATAAAATGATATTTGGATTTTCTATTACAAAAGAAGATGGGGAGAGAGACTGGATCCTATGTGGGTTGCCTACGTATCACACTATGGGAAGTCAGGTCAGGCGTAGTTCTATTACAACCAAACCCTAACTCTACGGTTTTCAAATGTTGTATCTTTTGATTGCATCTGAATTGATGTGCTTCATGCTGACGTTTTTATCCATTTCTGCTAAGATCAGAGCTCCTCCCGACAATATATGATGAAACACGTAAGGACCTTTCCAATTTGGCGCGAGCTTTCCCTTGGCTTCTTCTTGATGAGGGAATATTTTCTTCAAAACCAACTGCCTTGGTGTAAATTACCGAGATTTTACCTTCTTGTTGAATGCATTAGCCATCTTATTTTGATATAGCTGACCATGGCACACTGCATCCATTCTGCATCATCTAACTTGGCTTCATGAATGACCCTCAAGGATGGTATCTTGACTTCTACAGGTATCACAGCTTTGGTGCCATATACCAACATGTATGGTGTTACCGCAATGGATGTTCTCATAGTGGTCCGATAACCTACCAAGGTGAAGGATAACTTCTTGTGCCATTGCCTGAGGTTGTCCGCTATCTTTCGTAAGGTCCTTTCGATGTTTTATTTGGCTGCTTCAACCGCTCCATTAATTTGTGGCCTGTAGGATGTAGAGTTATGATGGACAATTTTGAATTTTTGGCAAATATCCCTCATGAGGTCACTGTTGAGATTGGCTGCATTGTCAGTGATGATTGACTCTGGTATCCCAAATCGGTAGACTATGTTGTTACGTACAAAATCTACCACTACTTTCTTCGTGACGTCCTTATATGTAGAACCTTCAACCTATTTGGTGAAGTAGTCGATAGCTACCAAGATGAAACGGTGTCCATTTGATGCGGAGGGCTCTATTGGTCTAATCACGTCCATGCCTCAAGCGACGAACGGACAAGTTGAACCCATTACATTTAGCTCATTAGGTGGAGCTCAGATGAAATCAACATGAATCTGGCACTGGTGACACTTCTGCACACAGCGAATGCTATCACTTTCTAAGGTCATCCAAAAGTATTCGGCTCTTAAAATCTTTGTGGCCAAAGTGAAATCATTCATGTGAGGTCCACATGTTCTTGCGTGTATTTCTTCTAGCAATCTGGTCGCTTCAGCAGTATCTACACATTTAACAGACCCATGTCTGGGTCCTCCTATACAGGAATTCCCTATTAAGGAAAAAGTGATTTGCTAGCCTTCTGAGTGCTCGCTTCTGACCATTGGTGGCATTCTCTGGGTACACTCTTGTTTCAAGGAACCTTTTATTGTCGTAGTACCACGGCCTATTGTCTGGCTCTTCATCTACATGGAAACAGTACGCATGATGATCCTGGACCTCTATATCAATAGGGTCGATTTTCTTATCTGGATGATGGATCATAGATGACAAGGTTGCGAAAGCATCAGCAAACTCATTATGTATCATGGGAATGTGTTTGAACTCAATCTTGGTGAACTTCTTGCACAACTCCTTTACACAATACAGATGCGGAAGGATCTTGACATTCTTGGTAGTCCATTCACCTTGGACTTGCTGTATCAGTAGATCAGAATCTTCTATGAACAGAAGCTCCTTGACGTTCATGTTGACTGCCATCCTAATCCCGAGGATGCACACTTCATACTCGGCAATATTGTCAGTGCAAGGGAACCTTATCTTTGCTAATGTCCGGTATTGCTACCCTGATTCTGAAATTAAGACTACTCCAATTCCCACTCCCTTGAAATTTGCAGCTTCGTCGAAGAACATTCTCCATCCTGGGTATGACTCTGCAATGTCTTCTCCGGCGAACAACACTTCTTCATTCAGAAAGTATGTAGTGAGCGGCTTGTAGTCCTTATCCTCTGGGTTATCTGCAAGGTGGTCGGCTAACGTTTGTCCTTTGATGGCCTTCTACGTCACGTACACAATTTCAAATTCGCTGAGAAGAATCTACCATTTGGCTAGCTTTGGATGTATAGTGTATGCTGGGATGTAGTTCCCCAACTTATGGGCGATCCAAGTCAAAGTGCAACAGGTCTGCTCTATCAGAGTGTATTTGGATTCACACAGTGTAAACTTCTTGCTCAAGTAGTAGATAGCCTACCTTTTCCTCCTGGTCTCATCGTGTTGTCCCTATACACATTCAAATGCATTGTCCAAGACAGACAAGTGTAGTAACAGTGGCTTTCCAGGCTCAAGGGGAACCAATACTGGTGGATTCGACAAGTACTCCTTGATCTTGTTGAAAGATTTCTGACACTCTTCTTTCCATTTCATAGCAGCATCCATTTTTAGAAACTTAAATATGGGCTCGCAAATTACCGTAGACTAGGCTATGAATCTGCTAATATAATTTAATCTTCCAAGGAAACTCATCACGTCATTCTTTCTCCTAGGTGACGCTAGGTCTTGAATGGCTTTGATCTTTGAAGGATCAATTCTATCCCTTTACTGCTCACAATTAAACCTAATAGTTTTTCGGGAGGGACTCCGAATACTCATTTTGTGGGATTCAACTTCAAACTGTACCTCCACAAATGTTCAAAAAACTTCTTTAGGTTACCTAAATGTTCTACACTCTTTCAAGATTTGATGATGATGTCGTCCACATATACCTCGATCTTTTTTGTGGATCATGTCATGAAAGAGGGTCGTCATGGCCCTTATGTAAGTAGCACCGGCATTCTTGAGGCCGAATGGCATGACTCTATAGCAATACACTCCCCAAGGCATAGTGAACGTTGTCTTCTCCGCATCTTCCTCATGCATCAAGATCTGGTGGTACCCGGTGAAATAATCCACGAATGACTGCAGCTCGTGCTTTGCACAATTATCAATGAGGATATGAATATTTGGTAAAGGAAAATCGTCCTTTGGAATGGACTTGTTAAGATATCGATAGTCCACACATATCCTAATTTTCTCATCTTTCTTTGGTACCGGTACGATGTTTGCCAACCATGTGGGATAATTGGTGAGTCTCACCACATTTCCCTCTATGTGTTTGTTCACTTCTTCTTTTATCCTCAAACTCAAATCTTACTTGAACTGTCTGGGTTTTTGTTTGACTGGCAGTATAGCGGGATCGGTAGGCAATCGATGTGAGATAATGTCAGTAGTCAATCTGGGCATGTCGTCATATGACCATGCAAACACATCGATGTATTGTCGGAGGAGCTCGACTAGTTCTTCTTTCTGTTCCACTTCTAAATGGATGTTGTTTCGAGTTTCTTTAACATCTCCGTCGCTTCCCATATTGATTACTTAAGTCTCTTCAAGGTTAGGCATTTTTTGGCTTTCCAATTGCTCGATCTCTTGTGGGAGATTATCTGGCATCATACTTTCATCGTACTCCTCGTAGTCTAGGTCATTTTGCTCGAGGGTTTCGTTACATGTCATAATCGCGGCACAGAGGTTTTTATTTTGATTACTGAAATAGAGAAACTAAGTATAAATGAAGCGATAGATAAGTTTGCAATAATTTAAAGAAAGCATTTCTTTTTATTCCATCAAAAGGGGAATGTCTAACTGTTCAAGGAGGCAATTGACAACAGAGTACAGGCACGGTTCGGGACTCAATTGACCGTGTATTCTTTTTCAAAATTACTACAATTCCACACTACCAAGATTCCCGGCGAACCAGAGATGGGCTGGCGGTCCAATTCTTCTGGTCCTCTCATGGTTGAGCATCACGAATGGTCGGTGTCTTGATATCAACTCCATCACAACATTCCTCAATCGTGGTCACGAGCAGAGTTCCAATTCCATCAATGATGTCGTCCTCTGGTGTCGAGCATTGACCCGGACTCGGAACACGCTCTGGCAGAAAAGCCTTCTTCCCGAAGTCATCGGTTTAAGTTTTCCCAATCGGAGGCTGATATCCTAAGCCGGCTCTACCCTTATGTTCCTTTGGCTCAATCAGCTCCATTAACCCATTTGATCGGGCTCCCAGCCAGGTCCCTGGTCAGCATCCGTATTTCATCATTTCTCTCATATCCATCTTTCATCTGCATGGTGACTACATACCTAGATTTTGCTCCGTCTTTTCTATCTCTGTGATCTACATGATCTCGACCGCATAAAAAGTGACCTCATCCAATCCTTCTATGAATGAAACTACATGTTCTAGATAAGTTGACTAGCTCCATTCACCGTGAACTACAATCTCTTGACAGCCCCACTCGAACATCACGCACTGATGGAGGGTGGATGGAACTGCCCCCTCCAAATATATTTCCCCAATGATGTCATTATGCGATCCATGGAAGGCTCTCACTCTCACATGGCTTTCTTTCAGTTCTCTCAGATGAATACCTAACTCTCGTAGGGTAGAGAGCATGAAGATATTAACTCTAGATCCTCCATCAACAAGTACTCGGGACAACACTTTGTCCCCGTATTTGACGGTAATGTGTAAGGCTCTGTTATGATCCACGCCCTCTACTGGAATTTTATCTCTTCATATGTGATCATGTTCACCTCAACCATTTTCCCGATGGTTGCTTCCAACGCCTCACTGGTAGTGTTGCTCGGCACGCTCACTCTAATTAATACCTTCATCAAGGCGTCTTTATGATTGTCAGAACTCATTAGCAGATCCATGATCGATATATGTGCAAGGGTTTCTTCAATTGCTCCTCCACGGAGTTTTCTTTTGCTGACATCTTCTTCCAAAATTCTACAGCCCCAGCATCTATTATATTCCTCCTCTGAATTTGTTCTCTTCCTAGATTTCCTCGGTTTACCTCCTTCGGAGCGTAACACATTCTTGACCTGGTCATTCCATGAGCCGTTGTGGAATCCTTCATCTTGCCTTTCCCTTTCTGCTGGTACGTCCACGGGACTGTCTTGTACTTCTTACTTTCTTCATTCCTGATAGCGGTGATGGACTGTTGTCGGTATGTCTATACAATCACTAGGGTTTTAACTGTCTGGTGATCAATGAAGTTCTTCGGGCTGGAACCCTTGTAGCCTCGGTGTTCCCTATTGCGATAATAGTCCCTTTTAAGTCATATTCTTCATCCAAAACGATCATATTAGCTCCTTGATTCCTATGGTTTGGCAGTGGATTTTGGTTCACATTTAGGGGAGCTGGGGTGCACTGAATGGCTCCACTTTTGATCATTCACTCAATTGCATTCTTCAGCTTGAAGCAATCCTCGGTATCATGTCCCGGTACACCTGAATGGTAGACACACCATTTGGTCATATCAAAATATTCTGAAGGATGCTTATGAATCCTCCCTTCTATTGGATATATCAAGCCATATCTTCTCAACCTGTCAAACAACTGTTCTAAGGGTTCAGCAATAGGGGTGTAATTTATGGGACCTCTTTCTTCAAAATTTGGGCTAGGTCGGGGTGCATAGGTGGGTCAATTTTGATGGGTGGTGGTTTTAACTGGAGCGTATGGTCGTGGTGGATTTGGATATATATGGGCGCAAGGTGGGTTATATTGAGGTTGGGGGTTATAGTATGGTTGTGCGTTGTATACTGGACCATAAGTAGGTGGGTGTGAGGAATGTGTGTTCAGAGAATAAGAGTTGTTTCTGTGAGATGAACTGGACTGGTAATAGGGAATGATTGTTGATACATCTTCTTTCTTCTTCTTTCCACTGCTTGTCGAACCGGACTGAATTGCTTTACTGGATGCTTGCAATGCGGCCATGGATTGTATCTTGCGTGATTAAATACCTTCCTCCAAAATTCAAAATAGATTCCTTCTTGGGCCCTGAATAAGTATTTGGTTAGCTCATTGTCATCTAGCCGGGGCTGGGTCCTGGCAGTCTCTGACTCTAACAACGGGTGTATTCTTGGAATGATTCAGACGATTTCTTCTGCAACTTTACTAGGGCGAACCTATCTGGGGTAATTTCTGTGTTAATCCGAAAATGGTTCATGAAGTCTTCTGCCATATCCTGCCATTCTCTCCAATTTTTGGGATCCTGGCGGGTATACCAAGTGAGTGCCTCTCCTGTCAAACTTCTTATAAATAGCTTCATTCTTAACTTTTTATTCCTTCCTACTCCAACCAGCTTATCGCGATAGGCTCTCAAGTGGGCATGGGGATCACCTGTCCCATAAAAGATATCAAATTTTGGAGGCTTGTACCCTACTGGCATGTCCACATCAGGGTGTAAGCACAAATCCTCGTAATATAGGCTCTCGCTCCCTCAAGTAACCTGAAGGTTCTTCGTTTGTTTTCTCAAAGCTCGTAATTGTTGGAATACTGATTGTTCCTCTTCATACTTTTCTTCCTTCTCCATTTTAGAATACTAATCAATTTCATAAGGCAACTTTACTGTGACGGGCGATGTGAAGGCGGGTTCTGAAATGGCACATACGGGTGGAACATATCGCTCGTGTGTAGCGATATATGTTGCAGGTATGTGTTAGTTTTTATTGTTGGCAAATGTGACGCCGTCACAAGGAGGGGTATGAACTGTGTTAGTAGCGATTTATGGATTTTGCGGTGTCTGAGCATAATTTGGTACATAAGGGGTATGTATAGGAGGATTTGGTGGGTTTGCAGGGGTTACCGGGGGTATAATTTGGGTTGTAGTTACTGAAGTCGGGGTATTGTTTTCTTGGCGGGTAGCTGAAGGAAAGTGATC